TCAGCACCAGCGGCTCGTGCAGACCCCGGGGGACAGGAGGCAGCTGGAGCAAGCAGAGACTCCCGTTCCACTCCGAGCTGGGACAGCACCTCCCTGGGCACCCATGAGGTCCGTGTGGATCATTACCCCAGCGTCCAGCTCGGAGCCGGCAATGATGGAGCCGGTCCGCTTGGAAGCTCTCCGGATTTCGACTCCAGCAGTGGCTGTGGCGCTGCCACCAGCTCATCTCAGGCCAAGGTCCCCGCGGGGGACAGCAATGGCCCGTCCCTGCCGTACATCCTCCCGGCCGTGGGCATCGCTGTCATCTCCGCCGTGGCATTCCTGGTGTACACTCGGCTCCAGAAGTAGCAGCCGGGATGTCACGCAGCCGGGACGATTCCTCTGGCAACAGGATTCTGGCCAACGCGTTTGAAGCCTGAAGAGCAGCGGGGGAATGGTAGGGGTGTGGTTAAATCTCTTTCCGCAAGGTTCTGCTGGAAGAGGCCTTGGTACAGGATGCTGTTGGGTTTGGATCTGTTCCATCCAATTTCCCAACCGTCTTCTTTTTACACCCATGGAGAGGGTCTCTCTCCAGGGCAATCCCTTGAGTCAGAAAAGTCCTTGTGGCGATTCTCCACGTCTTCCTTGTTCGGTCCCAGGAGGCCCCAGGGAAGCATGCACTGGTGATCCAAAGGGTGACCCCCTGGGTGCCTTTGGGCAGCGCAGCCAGGAGTGGTTTTGCAGATATCCTGTAACATTGGAGCTGGTTTTCTTGGCTCTGCTCCTCTCGACTTGAAAACATTCCTGAGGATTGGTGCAGGAGCCTTCACCAGGTGTCTCATGTTCAGTTTGCCTTACTTGGTATCTCTGGCTCTGCCAGGCACCTTTGAGGGGCTCTGCAGCTCCTTCTGGGATCCCTCCATGCGGCACTGACCATGGGGATAAACAGGAAGGTCAGGAGAGAGCCGCATCTAACCAGTGTTCCCGAGGATGGGCCTCCTTGCACCCCCTCCAGGCAGGGAATCGGGGTTCTACTTTAAGAGGAATGTTTCAGGCAATGCCAGCATTAAGCAGACTTGGTCCTACACAGGGTTGTAGGGTGTCTTTGATCTTTAAGCTGGATTTTGGGAACGTGATTGGAAGGGTGGATGGAGTTCTCACCCTTCCTGATACCTGCTGCTATGGTATAGGAATATAGGAACCTTGTGCCCAGGCTGAGACACAAACAGGATCAATTGCACACTGCAGGGAGGCCATACAGGGGTCTGAGGTGCTCTGGGCTTGGGGAGACATTCCAGCACCTTCCAGTGCCTTAAGGGGCTCCAAGAGAGCTGGAGAGGGACTTTGGGCAAGGGCCTGGAGGGACAGGACAAGGGGGAATGGCTTCCCACTGCCAGGGGGCAGGGATAGATGGGATATTGGGCAGAAATTCTTGGTTTTGACGGTGGTGAGGCACTGGCTGGAACAGGTTGCCCAGAGAAGCTGTGGCTGCCACATCCCTGGAAGTGTTCATGGCCAGATTGAATGGAGCTTGGAGCAACCTGGAGCAACACTCCTAATTTAGGTTATTGCTTCTTCCCTGTTCTTCTGTGTTACAGAACCACAGAATGGTTTGGGTTGGAAGGGCCCTAAAAGACAATCTCATCCCACCCCCCTGCCATGGGCAGGGACACCACCTTCCACTAGCCCAGGTTGCTCCAAGCTCCATTCAATCTGGCCATGAACACTTCCAGGGATGTGGCAGCCACAGCTTCTCTGGGCAACCTGTTCCAGCCAGTGCCTCACCACCGTCAAAACCAAGAATTTC